TATTTTAGAGTCTATTACTGAGCTGTTCCATCTTTTTCTGCTGTTTCCTGGGTATTTAAAGGTCTTTAAGGCTGGATATTTATGCACAAACCAATTAAATACTCACTTCTACATCTATACATACTTCCATCTGAACACTACGGTTGAGAATCATAAAATATACCTTCATAATAAACAGCACAAACTAAAACCTGATAGTTACCAACAAGCATCTCTCAAAGCTTCCATCTCTGCTTTCGGTTTTCTGACGCCTCAAGGACTGGGACCATTTTTATCACACATCTGCTGTTTGACAAAAAGATAATTTCAAAGTAGCGTTTTATTATTGTGACAAGTCTGAAAATGTCCATGTGTCCCCACAAGCACATTCTGCTGCATCTGAGCTGTGACAAAGTAACCAAAGGTTGTTTGTTTCTGAGGTTTTCTTTTTTTTAATCACTTAATAATAATGTGCATCTGTGCTGAAGTCAAACACGTTTATGGATTCTTTGAAATAGATGTAAGAGCTAAAGCAGCTAAAGATGAGGAAAAGTATCATGAGTGGTAAAATAATATTGGACTGAACCCAGAAATTACATAAAAAAAAGGTTTAAAAGATTTTATGATAATAAATAGATGCATMTGGAGATAATCCCACTATGAATAAATACTGAACTCAGAACACTTCACACCAGATTCTCACCCTGAATTTGATAGAAGGATTAAATTCAAACGAAACCTTAACTTTATCCACTGGTTGAAGGTTTTGATGACTGTTCCTTCATTTTTTTAGCTTGTGTTTTGCCCAAGATGCATTTTCCTGATGAAATATTTTATGATGTTTTTCTTACTTTCATTGTAAACAAACATTTTCAAAATCCCACTGTTGTTTTTAACCTAGATATCATTGTACTGTTTTTCTGCATATTCAAAAGTATTTGTGGTTTTAAATGCTGAGAGAAAGTTTTAATTTTTACATGGGATTATTGTGAGATTATTAGTAACAAACCATTTAAATCTCACCTCTGCATCTTCATACTTCTCTGAATCAGCATCTACTGTATTTATTCATGTATAATACAACCCCCCCCCCCTTTTTTTGAGCCTAAAAAGCATAAAAATTTAATCCTCAAACTACCTCCAATTTCATCCAGACTTCAAGATTTTTCAGCCTTTGTTTGCAGTCTTTAAACATATCAGTAAAATGATCATTGGACTGTTCATTTTATTTTAACAACATATGTAC